CTAATTAGCTCCAACACAGCAGCTGATATCTACTGCGGAATGTTTTGCTGCTAAGCCGTCCTGCTTGACAGTTCCAATTGCTGCTGGCCACACTTCTTAGCCTTGTTACCCGCCGTGACCTTATATCTCGTGTCACGTGACCTTATATCTAGTGTGACCTTATCTAGTGTCACGTGACCTTACCTAGTGTCACGTGTCTTAGTTAGACTAGGAGGTGGAGAACCGGAGAAGGGAGGTTGTGTTTTGGTTCACTCTAATAACTATTTAATCAGTTAATTATCCTTAGTTTACAGAGAAATCCGAGCAGTTATTCATGCTAATTGTTAAGGAAAATTTGTCCGGATAATTGTGCTCGATCTATCCGAGTTGGTACCGGCTATTCATGTCTGGTGGTCCGTGCTGACGTTTACATCCACACATTTTCAGACTTTCTGACGTTTTGTCGATTTTTTTGGTGGTCCGAACTCTTCCGACTGGACATAGGGCATGTGTCATATCAGTCAAAGATTCTGACGAAAGTTGGTTTACTTGACTATTCTATTTTTATATTCTTTGCCTGATACCTCCTTTCTGGAGTGAAAGTCTACTACTCCGTCAGGTCGTCAAGACGACTTCCTGAAAACTTTGTTTCCAGTCGCAAGATTTATTTGTCATCATCTCAAAGGTGTTTGTCGCACGTTTTTAAATTGAAAGAACCAACGTAAGAGGCGCCGAAAAAGTCAAACAAAGCAAATGATTTGTACTTTCGGCCTTCGTCATACAAAAGTTCCGTTTTAACAGGGTTAAGGAGGGTTGTTATGAAGTGATCGTGCTGTTATACCATCCTCCCAGTTATTTATATTTGATTTTCTACTGTTGACGGCTAAACTCTGCTGAAATAGCTCAGAAATTAGAATGTGGCCGTGGTATTTCAAATTTCTTTCATCTCCAGCAGGCTTTTACCGCACATTTAATTTCATTTCACCGCTGCAGATGCAAGGCAAATTACCAGCTGCTGGGGAAAGAAAAAAAAATTCCACTTTACAGAATCATGTTATATTTTTGCTGCTGCAAAGTACCGTTCAAATGCAATATCATAAAAAGAAGAGACGAACGTCTAATCAAGACTTTTTGTAAGAGTAAAATTTGAGTATTTAATTGTGAACTGAAGGGTTTTAGCCTCAAACGTTGGCAGGTGCTTATCGTGAGAGTCATACGAAACTGCAGGGTTTAAAAGCAACCGTCGGTCAGTGTACCAACTTTTAACTGTTCAGCAGTCGTCCACCACCTGCATAATAATGAGACTCAGATAATAATATTACTAATCTTGACTAGAACTTCTAGAAGTTCATGTTCCGAGCTTCGTGAGGAGCTGTGCAAATTTAATGTCAAGACGTAAATTTAACAAGTGGTAGGTACTGGTAGCGTGTTATTTGTTGACGTTTATCAGTCTTTTTTAAATCCTCTGGTCGTTGCCGTTTTTGTATTTCTTTCTTATTGATGAAACCTCTGGTATGACTGGTTTTGTTCGCAAATGAGCATAATAAAGATACTACTTAAACAGGTGTCCTTAGAAAGGCGGATGTAGGGCGCGGTATCACGTAGACTTTCTATCAAATACGTGTTGAAATAAGAGATAATCTGCTTATCAACAGGACATTGAACAGTTGATCGTTCAAATTGACATGCAATTATTTTTAGTTACATCCTTATTAAATAATCATGTTTCGACAATTGTTTAATGTTTTCGGTTGAACTTGCCACTCCGTACTTTCTTGCTTGTAAAATTCAGCCCCATCTCAGTATTTAAACGTACATTAGACTAGGTTCATCGTACAGATGTAAGTATTATGGGATAGTTAGCCCCACTGTAATACCCAGTTTCCTGCAATCTAAGTTGGTACTGTACTCTATTTAGGTTCTTCTGAGGTAGTTTCTTTTGTATCTCCCAGTCCTTGCTCTATACATGAACTCACTCCACTTCATTGACATTGTTGCTTGTAATCACGATATTAGTCCTACGTTTTAGAGCCCCTTTTCAGTGAATGATTACCATTTTGTATATTTAAGGAATCAACTACTTACTCAGTGTCTTGACTTTAATTTCTACCCTAACTTTATTGATTTGCTGTGAGGCGCCGCTTTACTTGACTTGTTCGAGAATCGTACAGTATAGACGGGAGAGGACTTGTATTATGTAACACTAGCTCACAGCTGCTTCAATGATCTGCTCGTCCCATAACTGAATATCACTATTCTATAATACATGACACTGACAGTAAATTGGGACGTTCTTTACAAGTCAGATCCCAGTCAGATCCCCTGTCCCTTGTCGGTTGTCCCCGCACCATGACGTTAATCATTAGTGGACGTGTGTCTGTCAGATTGTTACTTTTGTTGACTATCTCAATTTATCAATATAATATAGTACTGCACCCACTCAAGCGTTGTAGGCAGCAGATGTCCACCTTTTTTCGAGTTACCAAATATTACAAATGCAATATTCGTCTCCTTACGATTTAGCTTCGAATTTCGCTGATTTCGCAAATATTGCTGTCCGATATCAAGTGGTAGATCTAGACTCTAGAGGTAGTAGTTTTAGATCACTTTAGAGCTGATAGTTATCATCGATTATAATGTCATTCGTATTGCAGCTGTATTTTCTAGATTACCAGTATTATTTACCAGAAATAGACAACTATTTACGATTACGTAAGTAGTAATTCAATGACCTCTATTTTCTATTTGTATATTATTTTGCCTCAACCTGCACGCAAATAATAATTATATCACTAGTATCACCCCAAATATCTCCGATGGTAGGTATTGAGCATATCCACGATACACTTTATTTCCTAACCTGACTTCCCCCATAGCTTGTATGATCTGAGCGGCTATGATGCCGGACGCACTAATCAGTGGAGGGCAGCTGTGTCAGAACAGAGCATTGAGCCCCACCCGTAGCAACAGCTGCAGACACCAGAGTGGAGTGATCAGGAGGGTGGCTGGCAGTCAGAGTCTCAGAGGATGCCCCACTTTACCTACCACTCGCTGTAGTTGTATCCTCATTTCTGCCAACGCTAGGTGAGTGGTCTTTAAAGAAAATCGATTCTTGAAATATTAATTTCATCCAATCAGATCTAAACTATGGATTTTTAGAATATTTCTTGATGTGTTAAATTATAAATAGTATTAACACGACTTTAAGACCTCACATAATTTTCTCCCGAGCCCAAAAACTTTTATTCTTAAAACTGAAAATATATCAAATTTCCCGATCCTTTATTCAGTTGTGAACCACATGTCTTCAAATTTGGAGTCGAGAATGTTCTAATTAATGTGCAATTGGTACTGATTAGCCGCAATAATCCACACGTGGTCAATTCTAGACTCGTCTTTAGTGATATAGATAATGAACAACGAAAATAATATTAGTGAAGACTTATAATTTATATGCGTGTCTATTCTGGTCAAAATTAACACCAAGCTCTGAGCTATTCTAAGCGTCGCTGGATTTTATATTTTCAAATTTTATTTTCTCACAAGCAGCTACCTACCAAACATTCCTCATGCTCTTTCACTGTGGACCACCACCCATTTTAGCAACTCTTGATTAACAGTTCTTTGTTGACTTCTGCCTCCCTTCTGCAACGTAAAAGTCGTAAATATCTTGCGAGCGTACAAGCCAGCACTAAGAATCCTCAACAATTGCACAGTTCCGCCCTTATCCTCCCTTTATTCCTATACTTATCACTGAAGAACACGCCAAACAATAACGGACTTCCCTGCTAACATGTTAAAGGCTCTTTCCCCGTCCGCCCTTGCATACTGCTGGCTCCGCCAACATATTCGTAAAAATCATTCATGTCAACATCAATCTAGGACTGAACGCAAATATTTTTGAATGGTGTGGTCTGATTGGATAGTGTCGTTTATGTGCTTTGCTCTGATTGGTTGATGTGACAAATACTGTGAAATGCTGTGGTTTGATTGCAGGTTGTTGTGAGCAAGTGCGGCTAACTTATTGTATCACTACTACTTGCTCGTACTTATACTTTATTCCGAGTTTAACGATAGATGAATAGTTTATTCACAGCCGACTTGTTTCAATGGAAATTAAAACCCTGTTAGAAATTTAAAGCAGAAATTTAAAGTAGAAATTTCGCTGAGATTGGCTGTTTTGTTCTCTCTGGATTCAGTTTGAAAAACTGCTTCAATGTGCTTCATGTAAGTCAACGAATTAGTTTTGACATATTTCACGGTTCTGATTGTTGCTTGATTACACACTTTCACACGATTTAAACAGTGACCAATCTCGATGATCACAAGTTATCACTCAGTATAGCCACCGTTCCAGTCTCTCTCTCTCTGGCTCAGTGGCTTAGTTGGTTAATCTGCTTGTCTACTGGCCCTGACGTTGCGAGTTCGAATCCCAGTTGGGCCAAGATTTCAAAATTGATGGGCAGCCGTCACTCACCAAACCATGGTGTGAATGGTAGTGGCTCTCATTAGAGCTGCGAAAATAACACGAGTGCATATGCCTGGGCCAGCGTCCCGACTATGCTGCAGGGAAATCTGTACCGAAAGGACCGTGGCCGCACCGCAAAAGAAAAGGAGATCGGCCCCTCGATCCTAGCTTGCTAGGTTCGCCATTGTTGTGTTGTTGTGTTGTCCAGTCTTTAAGTGGTACAAGCTCGTTAATTCTAACTTGTCATCTGGTATTATCTTGTCTGGGTTCCACCCTAACCAACCACTCACCACTTACCACCATCCTCAATCAACCTCATCTCTACAAAAACTCAAATTTAGCAGCACCTAGATTAGGAAGATCTCTCTCTCTCTCTCTCTCTCTCCCTCTCTCTAATGTCTCTTTTCTCACTGGGAGCAGGGAGGTGATGATGGAACAGTGTTGTCAGGTGCCTCTCTCTAGCAGTATATATTTTAACACCTTGAATCAGTGATGAGTAATGTGAACTGGCCCGGAAACGCGGACCCTCCAGGTGAGGTATCATCGGTGCTGCATGGTGCAGATATTTGTACCTGATGAGTGTTGTAATTGTTGGCCCTTTGACAGTTGCGGGAACACATTATTGATGATCGTATCTTTCAAGGATACGTTTTGCTAATGAAATCGTAGGAAAACCTGTTGGTAAGGCGTGATAAACCACGTGTTGTGATCACGTGACGGCCCACTTAATAGTTTCTAGTGATGTCAGTATTGATAATTACTGAGAGGTTGGAAAACGTTGTGCATTGTGCAATCAGGTTTGAGGATTTGAGTTGCCTCACATCTGACATTTAACCCTTTACATAACGTTCAGTTGACAGTTATCACGGTTTCTATTTCCATTGCTCTCACAGCTGCGACTTTAAGTCTTTCGTAACAAGCTTTGCTAACCGTTTTATTTTGAAGCATCCACTTGCGTGCAATGTTTATGTGGGAAAGGTGAGTCCGGGGAGGTCTATTTATAAAGGATTTTATACTTGTATTTGCCATATTCTTATCTACTTCCTGGAGTGGTAATTATTGCACCATTACCCTGAGTATTATCTAATTAAGATAACAAGTTTTATCACCGTGCAATGAGGTGCCCCATACTCAGAGAACCTTATCTTTCACCATCCGTGCCTTTAAGTCTACCCAGTTCCCGACTTTGTTCCTACTTCGATTGTTTCGCCCGTGTTGAATATCACAAATTAGAATCTCCTTCTTTTTTTTTGAGTTTGTTGACCTTGTTCGGTTTGCAGTTGCATGGAGTTCGAGATGAATTTTAATTAGTTGAAATGTTTGCACTCGCCAGTCACGAGGTTTGCTTTGATCTTTTAAGGATAGTTATAATGCAAGAACTTTATTCTTTACCTACGACCCTCAGTTTTTTTAAGTAGCATAAAATGTGGGGTTTGGACAGTTGTTACGGAAAACATTTTGTGCTTTGGTGGAGGTTTTCAGCATCTCTTTCTTAGAGGTTCTCCTGTCGTGAATCATCTTGGTTTGTTTCAAATTGATCTCCGAGCCAGACTGAGTCTGGTCCAAGTTTCGATTCCCAAGAAAATAACTAAACTTTACAGAAAAGATGACATAATGGTGGTCATTATATGGTTGCACGCTTGTTAATTGGGGGGTTGGTGTTCCTTCTCACGGACGCAGCATCTATACGTACCGGACGCGGCATCTATACGTACCGGACGCGGCATCTATACGTACCAATCTCTTAAATACTAATCGTACCTGTGATCCGACTTTTGTAATTGCCAAGACTTTTGTAAATTTTCAAGTGTCATGTCTGCTTTTGGCGTGTTGCCCTGGCACTATGACGGATGTAACTCCTCTCTATTCATTGTCATACCTCGTTACATGAACGTTGTGACAACAAAGCTCATAAGCTTGCTCGGCGACTATCCCATCCTGCACCGACATCATGCTTCAGTATTTTAAAGTTCAAATTTGCATATATCCGAGAACATATTCATTATTCAACGTCTGGTGCTTGACTCGTGCAGAGATGCTGAAAACTTAGTGACTTGTAGAGCTGCTGATTCAAGCTTGGCAACTTATAAGTTACAGTCGCCCTATGAGCTCCAAGCGGTTAACTTATAATTCATTGTCGCCCCACATCCAAAGCTTCTTCTACCACTTTTACCTCGTGTAGGTTTCTACTTCGAAACCTTACTTTAAAACCCAAACCACACCTTGCACATCGCGCGAAAATTGACAACTAAACCCGACTGAAATCGCACAAAGTCGCATTACCAAGTAATTGTTAGGTGACATCAAAAACATCTCACCTTCACGTGTCATCTACTGTTCCAATATTCTTCAGACAAACAACCGGAACACGACCGGGACGATTTCAGTAGTTGGGTCCCTGACTTTTACTTGTTTCAGTACGAAGAGATCGCCTGGTTCTCGGAAGATGAGAAAGAGTATCCTGCAGTTTGCCAAGAAGTTGTGGAGCTCGGAGGACAGTGGGACTAGGAGGGCGCTGTGTACTAATTGTAAGACAGACCCAGTCACCCTGAGTTCCCTCTGTAAGAAATGTTGTAGAAGATCCACTGTCTGCGCTGCTTGCTATTCTAGGTTTGAGCATTTTGTTTTAAATCACGTATATTTGATTTTTGATGTTTTCTTGGTCTATTAAGATTGTTGGTTTTTTTTGGCAGATAGTCTGCTTAAAACTAATGCTCTTTGGTTGTCAAATAATTTCGAATGTTGTGTAGTCTGTCTCAAATAGAGGTCTAACGTTACTCCTGTTACAGGATTCTGTCCCTGCACCACACCAGACTGGATAGATACGGCAGCTTAGAGGACAGGACCTACAAGTGTCCGGACTGTAACTTGTCCCCTGTCAATACGTCTCCTCACACCAACATTTTAGAAGACAACAGTGTCTCCTACATTACTCCACAAAAAGTAAACAACCTCTCCGCCAAGAAGGCAGACACTGATCCATTGTCGAGGTTCGTTAACAAGCGAACCCTCCCTAGCCTCACCTCGCCTCCCCCTCCCGCTAGGATGCCTCTCAGTTTCTCAACTTCAGCTCCTGTCACTCCTGTCAAACCAATCTCCCCTGTCAAACCCTTATCCCTGGAGAAACCCTCGTCACCAGGGAAACCCTTGACTCTGGCGAGACCTACATCACTCGTCAAAACTATCACTCCGGTGAAACCTCCCAGACCGGTGAACCATGTCAAACCGGTGACTTTAACAAAACAGAAATCATTCTCCAGCTCCGACTCTGAATATCAGTCCTGTTCCGAGAATGTAGATCCGGAAAGTCCCTTTACTCCGACCACTCCTACACCAGCTCTGGGAGACAGGACTAGTTATGTGTTTCCTGGTAAAGACAATCTTCCGGACAAAAACAAATACTCTTATCAAGATAACAATAGATACAATTATAATATGGAGGACAAAATAATGCCTGTAGTCCCTGAAACGATCAAATCGCCCAAAGTGCTGGAGAACATAAACAACAACAAATGCGTCATAGTGCTCAATAAAGATCACGAAATGCCACGAACGGTGGCCGTAGCAACCAAACCCACCCCTCCTGTGTCCATGGTAACAAGATCGCGGGTGTCGAACCCTAACCGCCCCGTCATGATAAGGTCACGTGCTATTGAGGAGTCTGACGAGTTCCAGAACGTCATGGTGAGTACAAGTTTAGTTTTTTTCTGTTATTGTTCGTTCGTCTTGTATTGTAGTGTAGTATTTTCTACAAGTTGTGTATAGTGACGTATGTTGTGTTTGTATAGTGACGTATGTTCTGTTTGTGTAGTGACGTATGTTGTGTTTACTGTTTTGATGTATTATCCGACCTCTAACTGGTTTGGTTCTAGGTTTGTTCATAGTTACATTAGTGTAAAGGAGTGGCACAGTTGGTCGGTGCTTGACACAGGGTTTTAATCTGATGTTGGGTCACTTGGGCACAATAGGGCAAAGGACTCCCGCCAATTCTGTGCCCATGACGTCACTAGGGACTACAGCAGAGTGTGTTGCCGCCCGCCAGATGTTCTATGTTGTCAGTGTTAATGATCATTACATCTGTTATTTGAAACTATTTGGGTGCTTACAAAGTGCATATCAGTGCAATTTTCACTTTTGTTAGCCATAACATACGAATCTTCGGGAAGATTCGAGGAGTTGCCTTTACAATTTCTTGCAACTCGGATTTTCACCCGGCCCGGTGCTCCACACAGCTAACATTTAGTGCTATTATTCCATATTTGAATCGATCTCAACACAGAGGATGGCTGAAATATAGCCGTTAGTGTATAGTGAGACACTTTCCTCCATTCAGCCTTTTGGAACTGTTATTAACTCTCATATTGCGATGTTGTTCACTCCAGCAAGCTATACATTACGTCTCCCCAGCATTAACCCCGTCTCCAGCAAGCTATACATTACGTCTCCAATATTATAATATGAGCTGCTCTGTTGCACGCTGGTCCGACCCCAGGGGCGTTGCCAGCCAGTTGGTTAAAGGACCATCCTGTTGTAAGTTTATCTGTGGTAAATATACTTCAGTATTTCTAGACCCCGTTCTTTTTTCTGAACTACTCAACCTTCAGTTTTGTCTCGGTTACCTCTCTGGTGGATATTTGAATTCTTGTTGCGTAATACTTATACCTTGTGTGAGTTTTATTTATTGGGCCATCTTTTGCTTTAGTTTTCAGTTCCTTAAATCACTGATCCAAGTCCGATGATTTCTATTTCAAAATTCCGTGTTTTGTACCTGGTTTTTGGTTAGTCGTTCTCAAATTTAGTTGCTGGATCTTTGCCAAATAAGTCTTGTTATCGATAGGTTATTATGTTTGTTTATCACAGTTACCGCTCTTTTAGCATAATATTTACATGTTACTTGCTTGACTTACAGTTACATCCACTAACAATCATAACTTATACAGCTAAGCTCATTCGTGATCCATTTATCTTGCTGTTCTGCCGTGTAATACCTCTTATTCTTAATTAATTTACCTAATTCATTAATTTGCGATAAGAAATTTGGATACAAGATAAAGTCAATGCTGTCGCAGTAACTTAATCTCATTTCCAGTCATGTATGCTTGTACTCAGTTATATTTTAAATATCGCTTTGTCAATAATCTAGTTTCCAATGTCTAACACGAATATTTGCTGCGTGAAATTAACGTTCCAACATTTCCAACTTCAAGAGAACACCCAATGTAAAACTAAAAGTCATTGCAAGATCAATGATAAACCCAGAATTAGATCCGGCTCTACTTCCTCTAACTGAGTATGTCCCCTAGTGTAACTCAACACCTTTCTTTCTTGCTCATGGGACTCAGCCAGCCCTGTAAAACTTGTGTTTCTCTAGGATGTCAGGGCGGCAGTGGTTCTCTGTCAGTCGCAGCTGGACTTTATTCTTTTGTTGTGGGTTTTTAGTAGGGCTCTAAATAGACGTCAGAGAGTAAAATGTGTGATTAGTTTGAAGCTTCTGGTTGGAGTATTATAGACTGGACAAATACACTCTTTTACGGTTCACATGACGATCATGTCTTATAAAGCTGAAGCTGAGGTTTTGTTACCATCATACAGCATGACTATCATGTCATAATAACTGACTATTATTAATATGCACGACCTATATAAACACCTACATGGAACTACTATTTTGAAACCTGCTGTAAGGTTGGTGTAGGTTGACACGACTATCAAATTCTTTGTCTCCTTTATCAAATTCTTTGTCTCTTTGCATTTAAAACTGTGAATTATCGTGTACACCTGTGACAAAAATAGTAGAATACTTTTCTATTTAGGATACTCGACACTATTTGAAACTTTTCATGCGTCACACTAAACTAAGATATACTTTGTTGAACTTCTGCAGCTTTTCCTTTCTTTTCAGAGTGTTCGTGATTCCAGATCCCTGAACTGCGTAATAAGTTGTCAGGAAGGTAAACACATTGGCTCTCAATCGTGCTATGAAATAGGGTTTCGCACTGTAAACCTATTGAATCCCTTTTACCCCTCAAAAGTTTCGAGAGGTCGACAGTCTTTCTGTCACTAAATGTCACCTTCTTCCACACATCTTCACCTCCAACAAAACTCGTAGAGAAACTTACTATAACTCCTGCCAGTTTAACTTGACATCCAGTGCTTCGCGAGTTTGCGATAGAAACGTTTTCTTGTGATGTCTATGGTTAAACCAGTTGTTGTTTAAATATTGGCCCGTGTGGCACCCACGTGTTGCTACAGCAACCCCACGTGCTGCTACAGCGACACTGATAAGCTTATGGTTTCAACTTTCATCCCCACCTCAACTCTTCCACGGCTTGATTGGTTGGAGTTTGTGGTGTTTAAACCAGAAACCATTCAACAAGTGCCAAACGTGATTGAGTGGTTGTCTTGCCGCCTGCGCTGTCATTATCTTTCGCTCGCTTCGTCATCACTTTGCCCTGTTGACGCTCGTTGCTCATTTAATAGACACTTTCTTCTTGCTGGTCAGTTTTGCCAGATTTGTTGATTGTCGTGTCATTTGAAGCAGGAGATAAGATTTGTGAGGTGTGATTTGAAGTGTGATCAAGAGAACAGACAGCTTTGTGAGGTGTGATAAACAGTTGAGATATGAGAGATATGCTGGTTGCTGGAATGGAGCTGATCGGTCCTGGGACTCTGGTAGACCCTCTTTCCCACATCGACCCTCTGTCACAGGTATGTCCCCACACGTGCAGACTGCAGATCACCGGGTCTGAAGTGGAGACAACTTGTTTAGAGCCTGATCTTCCTTATCTTCTATCAGCTCGATTAGTGATCAGATAGGTCACAGTTTGATAAGAATTCCCAACTATGATTACTTCCTGCACTGCAAGGACTACGATTTCTATTAGCTGAACATCTACCGATATAAGAAATAAGAATTAACGCTATACTGTAAGTGTAAACACTACTTTTCACGAAACACTTTGCCTTAGAAGTGAGAACTGTATCATTCGCTTGTTATCACCAGATTAACCGTAACAAATACTGTAGACTCGGCCTCTTAATACGCATTCTTTTCAATATTTTATTTTACCCACGACTTATATATTAAGATATCCAGTACATTTAACTTAGTGCCCATTGTATATGATAACTGTTTCAATTCGCCGAGTATAACACCATGCCATAATAGATGATAACCGTCCTCAGACTTACCAGACAAAGATCAGCATTATTGTCTCAGGAAGGGCTATTGTATCCGTTTACTAAAGACTAAAGCACAATTAAAATTCCATGGTAGAGTTTATTGGCATTGTGCGGACCGCAAGCTGTAACCACTGCTATTCTCACCTGTTCAGGCTGCGACTTCGCTCCTCCGTTCTCGTTTTTTTGGTTGGATTTTATTGACACTTGGTATTTTCATTTTTGTGTCGTCTCACTTTATTGAGACGCTAAATTGCCCTGAAAATTTGACACATTTTACTGATGTAAAAGTAGGCTAGGATCAACTATATGTTAACTTGTGAGTTTTCTTCAGGTTGTAGTTTTAAGCTATTGATAGGGATATGTATCGTACACATTCCAAAACAGCGACGGCGCGATAAAATTGTTCGGCCGCCGCGTATTGTAAGGTCCAGGTCCTCTGATCAGAATAAACTTGAGGAATTGAGCGGCAGCAGTCTTACACACATATATGCATGTGCCCAAAATGTACTCCACGCCAATAAACTGATAAATTCCTGAAATACCAACAGTTGTTAACTTTAAGATAAAGAACAATAGACTTCCATACATCGTGCCCACTTTAAGATCGATCTCCTCAGCGCCAGTTATCATTTCTTGATGATGTTTTCGGTGTTGTACATTTTTTATTGCCGTGGTGGCGTGCGATATAGTCAATTCTGGCCTTGCACTTTCGCTTCCTTGCGAGATTTGTATTACTTAAAGTTGTACTCAAATCATAACTTTTTGCTGAGTAAGCGTACGTATTATAATAGGAAAGTAAAGAAGTTTTGAACTTGACTGATGACGACACAACATGACAGATCCCTCTGATTGGGTGGTTACCCAAAATCTTCCCATTTAAGATGTACTACAAATCTTATACTATTATACTTGAGCGATGCACTTGTAGTGCACGGGTCCCGCGTCAAGCTCTATAGTATCACAACTTGAGTGGCCTCCTCTTCTCAATTTAGAATAACACCGTAACACCACTGCCGGGTGGCGTCATCTCGCCCCGCGTTTATTTTCAGCCACATAATTATACCACGTCACGTGGCTTGATAAAGGGTGATTATTGGTCTGGTTAGCGCGGCATTACAGCCCATTATTATAGTTCAGGGAATTTATTACCTGTATATCGCCGCATGTACATGAGTCCAGTTCACTCGCCGTTTACGTTTTACATGGTTTCTCTCTTCTCTTTTTCCCGCCTTCCTGACTTTTAGCATCGACTGTAACAGCAAGTTCACTTAACTTTTCAGTCGCTGTCTTTCTTAATAGGATTTTAAAAGCTTGTTAATAATATGATTTTAACTTCTAGTTTTTCTCTTTGTTACTAATTATTTGCTCCAATGAGTTTCAGTTTCGTCATAGCATGTCAATGCTCATTGCTCACTGCTCGGAAGACCTACTGTTTTCTTGCTGTCAGTTTCGATTTCTGGGAATTCCAATTTCTATTTGTAATTATCAAATCTCTATCTGAG